GGTACACATAGGATAACGGGGGAAATAACGGGGGGGGCTCAAACTTTCCATATGATAAAAGTATTTTTAAATATGCTTTTTTCGGGCTGTAAAAAAAACTCTTAGTATATTTTTCGGTCCTCTATCGAATGGGGCTTTCAAAATCTCGAAAATATTCAAAACGCCGAAAATTTTTTCCCCCCCTGTTATCCCATGTGCTGCCCATAGTTTTCAAAAATAGTTTTTAGGCTAGTTTTATAATACATTTTTTCGCGTTGTAAAAAATCTCTTAGTATATTTTTTGATGTTCTATCGATTCGCGTTTTCAAAATATCGAAAATCTCAAAAATTTGGCTTTCCCCCGTTATCCTATGTGCTGCCCATGGATTTGATCAATTTTTGTTTATTCGATAAAAAATTTCATTTACTTTATTTCGGACTGAAATTAATTTTCCTAGGGCAGTTTTCGACGCTTTATCGAATGACGTTTTCAAAATACCGAAAATTTCGAAAATTTCGAAAATTTGACTTCCCCGTTATCCCTATGTGCTGCCCATAGATTTTCCTCAATTTTTGTTTATTCAATAAAAAATTTCCATTACATTATTTTGGGCTCAAATTAATTCTCTTAGTATATTTTTCGACGCTCTATCGAATGGCACTCGCAAGATCCCTCAGTAATTGCAAATTTAATAATAATGAGTGCCCCGCCCGTTATTTTATCCCCCCGTTACCCTATGTGTACCAAAAGTCACGCCAAACCGAAAATCGGGCACAGAAGTATCCAATACCATTTATTTGTTGTATAAATTTGCGAAATCGAAACCCTTCCTATAAATGCGTGGCGGATCTCAATCGAACCCTAGAAATGTTATTTTCAATCCTGCTCCCTCTACTGCTACGTTTCCTGAGTATAACTGCCAAAATTCCGGATGAGCTGCTCGTCAAGGACATTAAAGAGTACCCCTATATGGCGGCGATTATGACGAAGAATCAGAGCCAGGGGCGTACGAGGGGGCAACAGGGCGCTGCCCCTCAAAATCGGCCGAAGGCCGAAAAGTTCATAAGGGGGCACCCTTATGATTTTTTCAATAAAAATTTTTCTGCCTGCGGCGCTGTTTATTACGGTTTTTAAGACGGTTTTTACTTCTATGAAGCCTATTTTTCCAAAAATTTTTGCCTGCGGCGCTGTTTTTCATTAGTATGTCAACTGTCTATATAAAATTCACGCCCATCTAGATGGCAGCTCATCTACGTTTGTTCTGGCACCATCATTGACAAGGATTGGGTGGTGACGCCGAGCGAGTGCGTCGTAGACATGTAGGTTAAATTTTGGTATCAGGTGGGAAAGAAAGTATAGGCACACAATCTTTGACAAGCTCTTAAGACGCACTGACACGCTCTATCCCAGGTGGACCCTCCGCTGACGCAAAAAAATTGCTGGAAGCCGAGATACAGCTTCAAAAAGTTTTGCCAAAAATCGGGTGAACGCCTTTGAGCGGGACATCTTTGCATAGCGCAATTTGCATGTGATACCCACGTCAATCGATAGCGTTCGTGGAGTACCCAAGATATACCAAACCATCGATAAAACGTTCAAATTGGACGTGTCTGCGCGTTTTAAGTGTTTGGCAAAGATGTTGTGCCGTCACTTTCTTTCTACATGGCTCAGCTTGCCCTAATCCGAAGCATGACCGAACCACAAGTAAGCTTGTAAAGCTTAAGCCGATGCGTAGGAGCCAATGCCAATCGTAACAGACGTGCCTAGACCCAGCCTAACCGCTGCCTAAGCCTAAGCCTAACAATAAGCCGGAACATAGCAGCCCAAGCCTATTCCTCAACTGGAGAGAAAACTCATCGACAAAATTCAAGAATCCTATGACGAAATTGCGTCAAGCACCTCCGCAAATAAACCTTATTCTTTTTTAGTCCAACCAAGGATTTGGTAGTGATTGCCGGCGTGACAGACCTGAGAACCACGTCAGAATTAAAGGTATTTCGGTCCTAACCGATATTAATGTACTTCCACTTAATAGCAAGTCCGTGCTGTGGCCGATAGGAGGATGCACACGGGCACGGGCACCGTCTGACGGCCAGATCCTCATATCACGATGCTCCAGGTGGTCGAACGCAAGCGGACACTGAATTTGAATTTCAGCTCCAAGAGCCGCTCGCTCTTGGAAATAGCGTGCGGCCAACGCTGATTCCGCGGATGAAGAAGACTGATTCGGAAGGGTCATCGATAAATCAGTTTGAGAAGGATCTCACGTGGATGAAGGCATTAGGATGGGGCCAGTCTGTTGAAGAGGGTGGGCCAGAGAGAGAGAGAGAGAGAGAGAGAGAGAGAGAGAGAGAGAGAGAGAGATAGCGTCTGTATGTGCGAGAGAAAGGCATATCAGACCCTCGTTCACAACAACCATGAGTTATAGCTTGATAAGCGCCCAAAACCCGCTTCGCGGGTCTTGAGCGCAGGCGGCCGACCTAGCATTCAGCCCAGTTCCCAGCGTTCTAACCGTTTAGGCCTTCCTGAGCAACTCAGCGTCGTGGACCTCATGGTGAAGCTGGGCTATAAGGAGAAGTTCTGCTGGGGTGGGTGCCTAATACAACACTTCCCTCCGATTTGACGGGACCTGAAAAAAAGGAAACAGAGTTGATAAAAGGGGACCACTGCCGATATCAGGGATCAAAAAGGCCACGAAATTTGGCGGTTACCGACATAAAGGATTAGAAAAATGAATTTCGCGCAATCCGTCGATTGAAGCGATCGGCGAGCCGGGTTTCGTTTTAGGTATGTTTCTGTTATCGGCCCTGATCCCTCATATAGCGGGTACATCCCGCTTATCCGTACAGATCCAAACATTGTGGTCATTAAGTATAAAGTGACTACTTTCAGCCAGGAACGTTGATGGACGTGGGGGTGAATTATGTGGAATACCTAAAGCCCCTGGAAGGCTGTGTCCTGTAAGTTAAATCGTCTCTCTTTCTCTATCTCTCTGTCTCTCGCTCTCGCTCGCTCTCTATCACCCTCTCTCGCTCTATCTCTCTCGACGCGCTCACTGGGCCATAAATAGAAAATCTTTTCAGAGAGAGACGCCGGCGGGGCTGTCATTTACCCGTTCGTTGGCCAGAATCGTACGGTTGTCTGGGCACAACTTGCGTTTGTTACGCATCGGCGTTGGAGTACTCCAAGAATAAGCAGCTGCTTTGGCGATGAGCTCGCAGGTTAACCATTTTAATTTTGCTACTAGGTGGTGAGGTCAGGAGGGGAATTTACGCGTTCCATTGGTGCATTTTCCTGAGACCGGGCTCAACTATGGCAGCATCACCACCCCTTGCAACGGTCCGCAGACGCTCCCAATTTTCCCGATTTAAATTTCAATCGAAAGCCGCCGACAAGCTGAGGAGACATGTTTTCCATTTTTTGAATCCCGAGCTTTTGTCGCATTTCCCTACCGGTTGAAAAAGTGCTACTCTTCAGGATGACATTTCTACCTGCCAGATCAATGCGACTGGCTGGAACAGGGTGCCGGCCACAAGATCTGCAAAGACGAGGATTCGCTTTAAGCGGAAACAGGGCAATAAACTGTTCTTATCAACTTGTATGAAAAGTCCTCGCCGAGTCCTTGTTCCGCACAAGATGACTGTGCTGATTTGTTAATTTAGATTTATTTCAGACATTAGAAGAAAGAGATAAAACTGCTATTGTAGTAACTTCTTGTAAGTCCGTCGGCACTCGTGTACGCATTGCGTTGTACTCGTGTACGTTTATTGCGCTGTCAGAGATCATAGTGAATCTAGAGTTTTGTGCTTTTTTCAGAATTTTGGATTCCATTCCCTTATTTATCCAAATTTCTCAGAAAAAAAATAGCATCTATCAATTTAAAAATCATCTCCACCGTGACATGAAAAGCTCAGTAAAGCCATCTCTTTGAAAGCAATAGGCCCGCTCTACTGCATAAATGGCCAATACCGAAATCGCTCGTATAAAGCTAGCCTCCGCATCAAAAATCGTATAGCCGAGATGCCGTTCCCAATTCTCCCAATTCTCTTGCCGTGCCTTTTGGGCATAAATGGAGAAATTCCGGCCGACCAGCTTGTCAACGACATCAGCGAATACCCCTATATGGTGGCAATTATGGAAAAAATCGCTGCACAACCGTATGCTCAAAAATTTTTGGGAGAAACAGCTGCCGAAACTAGGTGGCAGCAGTTTCATAGATGCGCCGGTACGATCATCGACAAGGTCTGGATATTGACAACTCAAGAATGCGTGCCGGGGGATGGGTATGTTTTACGGTGTGTGCATAGATAGTCAAAGTCGCCTCACCATTACTAGGTAACGAAATGGCAGTGGGCGCGTCGCGTGTCGCGGGCCAATAGATGTCTGGAGAGAGAGAGAGGGGGAGATGGAAAGAGCGAAAACGTCTCTGAATTGCATTATGCAACGAAATGGCAGTGAACGCGTTGTGTGTGGCACGGACTAGATGCCTAGCGAGACCGAATAAGAGAGGGAGAGCGCCCGAGAGAGCGAGACGCCACACGACTCATGCCTGGCCAATTCGTTTAGGTTTCGTTTAGAATGCCGAACCTGCGGAGTTCGTTAGTCGTAGTTGCCGGTGTGACAGACCTACGTGCGGCATCCCTCCTCAAGGTACTTCTTTATACACCAAAAAAATACCCCTTAATAGCAAGTGCGAGAAATCGCCGAGTCGTTTGTCCACGATGGTGTGGCATTGGTGCGGGTGAGCGGCTTTTTTTAGCTAAAAATTCCAGCACACTTTGAGCTGAAACAGCCGCTTGATTTTGGGAAAAGCGTAAACGTCGTCATCCTGCCGAGCTCTTCCGAAAAAATGCTTCGCGATCCGAAGATGATGAAGGCGCTGGGTTTTGGGCAGCCCGAAAGTGAGCCTTTTGACGACCTCGAGAGTTGTATTGCCCCAGTTAGAGAGAAAAGAGAGACAGACAGACATACAGATAGACAGAAAGACAAGACGTATTTGACAGACAGACATACAGATAGACAGACAGACAAACAAACATAATCACTAATAGGCAAACTGACGTAGAGAAAGGGAGGGGAGAGGCAAGACGACTTGCCGAAATTTTAACGATTCTTTTCCAGAATCTGTCGAACGCCTCCGTATCATTACCGTCAATGAAGACAAAAAGCACTGCGACGGTGGTGAGTTTATGTCGTAGTTAGTTGAACTATTTTTAAACATTCATTGTTAAATGGCCCTTGAAGCTTCTATTGCATACCTTGCTATGTCAAAATTTCTTACATTTAGCCGATCACGTGTTGAACTGCTGGACGGTCAGTCAACCCGGCATGTGCTTGGTGAGCGAAACTAGCGATATTGTAATTATATAATGCTTAATTACTAGGGTGCTACTATTCAAAAGCAAAGTAAGTCCGTTTCGTGTAGCCGGACCGGCAGAAAATTTCCAAGAATTTTCCAAACTTTTTCCATTAACTCCTGACTAGCGAAAGGATTGACAAACATAGCGAACTATACATAATTTTTATGGCATTTCACACAGTTTTTAGGCGTCAGGAGCTCATAAAAATGCTCAAACTCTTTTGATTGTATCAAGAAAAAATGTAGAAAAAGATTTTATAATTCCCAAACAACCAGAAACCTTTAAAAAGATTATCAATATGCATGATTATATATTATTAAAGGTAATGGGTGAAAAATAAGAATTGGCGCCCGTCACCAGTTAACAGGGATGAACCCTCCATTCGTTTGAAGCAAGATGACGGCGGCCCTCTGATGTACCCATCGCTGACCGGTGATGTGAAAATCGTGTACGTTCAGCTCGGGATCAACATGTACGCTGGGGACGGCCCTTGCGATAAACCCGGAGACAATGGTAATTTTCAAGACTTTCGTTTTTTTTGCAACGACAACTGCATTAAGCGATATTTTTGCGCGTCTCGGAGTATTGCCAATGGATCGAGACAACGGTTGGCCGGAAGGTGTGCCGAGAATTGGACACCCTTTGAAGCAAATAAATTGTTAAGCAATGCCGAAAAATTTCACGTCTGAACGGCGCTCGATAGCCGATTCAGGTTTGTCGAGGGCCAGACGAGTATTTGGACGAAGCATGGCTGACAAGCCTAGAAGTATTAACATGCCCTAAAACTTGCGATTTGTGTATGACCACCATCAATAGCTAGATGAATCCGTTGTATTAGCCTTCACATCGGGTATCTATCGACTTCCAGGAGCGTGGGCGAGAGAGAGAGAGAGAGACCAATCAAAAAAACAGCCTTAAGATTGTAAATTACGGTAAACGGAGATTTATAGAATTTTATTCACGGGAAGACCCTTAAACGGATCTAGAAACTCTCGAGAAAGCACGCACAGATACACGACAAAATTCTGTGGGATAGACTATTTAACAGTCAGGGAGCCATCTGGGTACCCTGACTTGATCTAGCTTTGTCAATTGTGTGAACTGTTGTGCCAATACTAGCCGGCATGATTGCGATACGGTGTAGATTACCGCATGGGTTTAGCTTCTGAAATATTGTCTCGGTATTACAGATTTTTGAAAATACGTCAAATTAGCCCATACAAAAGAAAAGCTTTGTTTCCTACCCGGCCGAATCTATGTACCCATTGAAGGATAGTGTTCCGATATGGTCGAGTAGCCAGCAAAACGGCCAAATTGTTGCCAAGGGTGTGGAGACTGTTCCATAAGCTTGACAGTCCCACTGCTACAACAAGTCTTTGGTTAGATACCTCTCTTTTAGCTCACCCCAAAATATCGGCTCCCAGGTTGTAAACTTCAAATAGACGAGAATAAATAAAGAAAATGGTCCTTCAATGAATATCATTACCATCAACGACTTAACTTTTTTTGAGCCTCCATAAAACAACTACCTGCAGGCCAAATATCAAACAGAAATAACGATGCATATGGCGTGTGCGGTTGCTCAGCGCCCGATTAGAATTTACGGCTATGTAATTTTTAATGTTCATATAACAGACGGCCAGGTAGAAAATAACAGTGACTGCGAGAGCCACTGCGATGGAGCGCAAGTAGTCAAGGATTTGCTCCAGATCCTTGTAAAATAGCAAGTCCTCGATGCCACACAAACCCTGCTCCATGATGCAGATCTGAAATTTCAAATTCTACCAGGATATGAAGGCTTCACCTGTTGCGTGTCGTTTAGCACAGACCCTTGCGCGTAGGCCTTCCAAATAAATACGTTAACGCTGAGCATCAGGCAAAGATAGAGGAGTAAAATGTAGCGCTTTGCGTGAGCGTCAAACGTCTTATGCGCTTGCGTCGCGTTCGCCGTTTTGAGAACTCCGGTATAAAGTAGCGCACATAAGGAGTGCGTCATAAATGTGAAGTAGAGGCTCTAATAATGACGTGGGTTTGCGGAAAGCTATGATCAGTTACCCCAATTAAATGGAGCGCAAAATTGTCGATGTGGAAGATGCTCAGCATTTTTCCGGCTGTGTATGGAGCATAGAAGACGGGTTTCAACGCGGAGACGGCAGTGTCGGTGAGCTGGGCAGCGATCTGAGTAATTGTTTTTGATTAAAACCCATAGAGCTCTATTATTTAAATAAAGTCACGGATACCATATGACCAGGGTTGTCACGCTGGATCCTAATCGGATCCGGTCCGGTCCGGGGTCGGTCCGGTCCGGTCCGGTCCGAAATTTCCATCCGGACCGGACCGGACCGGACCGGACCGGACCGGACCTGTCCGGTCCGTGGCGGACCGAGGGGCTTTGATTTGCTAGGAGAAACGGAAATGCAACATGCAGATTCGGAATGCAGAAGAGTGGCGTACCAAAAAATGACGCAATGTGGAATTCGCTTAATCAAAATGTATAAAATTATTCCTCCCCCATGAATTTTTGGCTATATACGCGACGGCTAGTCGCCCAGATGTGGAAAAATATGTCAAATTCTTCGCGAGTAGTATTTTGCATACAAAATTTTCCATATCTGGCTCCTGAATCATGTCCCTTCGTGTCCAGACGGACCGGTCCGGTCCGGTCCGGTCCGGTCCGAAATTCTCGGATCCACTCGGACCGATCCGGATTGGACCGGACCGCGGACCGTCCGCGGACCGGATCCTTTGTGACCAACCCTGCATATGACATATAACATATCATATAACCCATATCATATCATATAACCTACCACCAAGTTCAATTGCGTTATCTTATACTCCTTCGATAGTGGGGCCTTCCCACTGCAAATGCAGTACACGTGGAGGACACCGGTAATGGAGCTGAAAAGCCAGAAGAAATAATAAAAACCGACGATCCATACTTCGCCAGTAGGCGAGGGATAAAACATTGGAATGGCAGATTCAGGATGTTCAGGCATTCAAGGCCGAATGTTTCCCCAATTGGATGGCAGGTGCAAGGATAAAACAAAAACTGCGCGGGCATATTTTCAGCTGCAGTAAATATTGTTCCGGGAATTGGGCCAGCCGCGGTTCCAAACATTTCATGCGTCTTTCGAGGCCTATTTCGCGCTGTCTTATAAAAAACATTGACCTATTTGTGCTGATTTTTTTTGCGAAGTTCGCAATGTTGTCAAGAAATAAAACCTGAAATTTTCCATGATACGTGGGATTCATTGTTTTGGCTACAGCATTTCAAACAGTTTCCACCCCACGCCTCCCCAATTCATCAGTCCGCAACTTTGACGAAAATGCGGCAAATAACGGTCTTACTCCTCGCTTTGAGCCTTCACTCGACTTTTGCCTTCCAGTCCGGGGCTACTGTAGGTTTTGTCTTCCCAGATAGTGCACCAGTTTTTTACAAGAGCGGCCTGTCTGCTCTGCTAGCTTCAAGAGAGATACTTTCTTCGCGCAATTTTCCGTCTAAACCCCTCGTCGACGAGGATGGCGGTAACCCTTGGAATGCCATTATTTGCGGGTAAGGGAGTTTTTTTTAAGACACGATATAAGCACATGACTTAGCTATCATTATATTATCGATCAGACAGTTTAATTTTTAATTTTTTTCGTGGCCGTAAGGGATTACGGAGATCACCACAGGGAAAAGAATCCATGATCAGCTCACGCCCTGAACTGACCTGCTTTTTTTCTTATGAATTTGGTGAATAAACTTCGTGCTGGTGATACTATAGTGGACTATAGTAAATTCAAATTCAAACCACTACCAAAAATTGGCCTAGGAGCGAGGACTTCCCGGTGGACGACGTCAAGGAAATGCAGAACGACCTACGCAGGATACAGAACGAAACCATGCCCACGCAAAACCGAACCGGACTTGTGCTCTCACTGGCTAGACGCTTAGAATTTAACGAAAACATTCACAACCTTCGCAAGAAGATGCAAGTATTTGCTTGCGATGGAGGGCGCTTCAACGCCAGATGTGAGACTTGCTTTCAGTTTGCAGCCAGTGAATCCTTTAGTTGGGCGACTTTTCTCCTGCATGTATGGACTCAATTACACACTGGTTGTGGAGCTGTGTGAACACTTGGTCATCAACAATTACGGAACTTCCGATCTTGAGACCCAATCGTGAGGATTATGATATTCTCTGGGTTTCCCGAAATCGCCCCCCGGCTTTGATTCCTGGCCGCGCCGCATTATCTCCTGCCCCCGTTTGGGCGTGGGAACGTTTGAATTTCAAAATTCTGACAAGAATCCTCACCAAATTTTTACTTTTCTTTTTAGACTTTTTTATTATGAAAATTGATCAGAGAATCACCGAGTGAGATCAGGAGACTGGGTGCTTCACAAGGCAGGCACGACATGTAATCGTTGAGCATTCAAAATTTCGTTTTCGCCCCTAGAATATTTCGGTTTCAGTCAAATATTTTAGGTTTTTACTTACTTACTTTTACTTTTTACGAAATCATTTTTCTGGTGCTTTCCTTTTTTGACCAGTGGGTTCAATCCCCGCATGCGCGAATGTTGGCCTCCGAGCCCCTTTAACGGAAGGAATAAGGCATATCTTGGCAGTACCGTTCAGACTAGGGTTGTTATACGAGTTGATTCGGCAGCGAGTTGATTCGAATAAGCCCCGATTCGCATCCGGCGAATGGAAATTTCAACGATTCAATTCGCCAGCGAGTTGATTCGAATCGCGATTTGATTCGCCGCTAATTTGATTCGTTGCTAATGAATCCGCAGCCAAACGAATCAATTCGCTGACGAGTCGATTCGTCAGACGAGTTGATTCGTTGGCGAATCGATTCGTTGCCCACGAATCAGAATCGAAACGAATCGATTCGTCAACGAGTTGATTCGTTTGCCGTTCTGACTCGTCGGAAGTTGTTATATGTTAATGAAAAACGCTATGTAAATCAAAAAACAGCCTTTTTGGGTGTCTTTCGGGGTGCTGTTTGGGGTGCTTTTCGGCAACGCTAATTTATGAACTAGGCCATCTACTTGGCTGTCTTGGAACTTGGCCAAATCAGCAGATGAACCTCGTTTTCGGGCAGTTCGCACAAATCGACGCCAAACCGCTCGCAACTCATTTGGGGGTCGTTTGGTAGCATTCCTTCGAGGTTGTTGAAGGCGGCGGACAATTTCGAGACGTTTTTTTCTGACCATTCACAGTGGTTTTACAAAAGCTCAGCTATATGGCCGTTTAAAGGCAGAAAACCCTATTCTTTTTGGTCCTAAAAATAATTATTTCTCAAAGATTAAGGGTCTGTGGCAAAAACGAATTGCAATTTCGGAATCCGCGTCAAAGCAGGTACTTCGGCAGCATGCGAGGGATAAAACATTCGAATGAGGGGTTCGAGGCGTCCAGGTCAATAGCGTCCAAGCGCAGGGGTATGTTCCGAATTTGGTTGGCAGGTGGAGCCATTAAAACTTTCACAGGGTAGCGCCTTTTCCAGCTGGAAGGGGTGCGTTTGCGGTTTGGGATCCGGGGGTTTGGAAAGGTAAGGTTAATACGTTACCGGAAAACAAGGAAACACTTTGCCGGTTTTCGAAAAATGTCGAAATTAAAAATGCTTTATTGAGCAAGTTAATTGTCATGACTGGATAACATGGCTTTGTCAACCGGCAAAGTCGAGCTGTCGGTATTTGTCGGAGCTTTAGAAGCCATGTGGACATATAGGGTGTCCCAAAAACGAAACATCTAACATTTTGCGGTGTTACATCGAATCGGTCCCAAAATTGGATCAGAGGTGTATCAGACCCTAAATAACTACAATCCAAAATTATAGCCTCATAACTACAGTCGTTCGCGAGTTATAGCCATAATACAGTTTCCTATGCGATTTTTGGCTTAAGAACTTGGGCAATTTCGAATCGTAAACTTGCTTAAATCAACGCTTATTTAATTAATTTTAGCTTGGAAAAAGTTTCTTGATGTAGAGAAGGCCTAGCGGATCATTTTCACTTAACGTTTAGAGGGTCTAATTCCACAAAAACTCTATGAAAAATGGAAAATAATTTTTGTTTTTCTATAACTCGAGACTGACTGTAGCTACAGGGCTATAAATCAGGATTGTTGTTATTTAGGGTCTGATACACCTTTGGTCCAAATTGGATGTAACACGGCGAAATGCCAGATGGTGAGCGTGAGAGAGGACAATCAAAAAGCAAAAAGAGCCTTAAGGTTGTAAATTAAGGTAAACGGAGATTTGTAGAATTTTATGCACGGGGAGACCCTCAAACGGATCTGGAAACTCTCAACAAAGCACCCACAGATACATGACAAAATTCTGTGGGATAGACTATTTAATAGTCAGGGAACCATATGGTTATCATGGCTTGATCTGGCTTTGTCAATCCTTTCAACGTCGCGATATTGTTCGGCGAAACTGATATTCGCCGCAGATTACCACACGGGTTTAACTTCTGCAATGTGGGATTGGCTGTAGAGAGGTGAAATGTTAAAAATATGGTATCTAGGAAAAAAATCGTTGCGCCTTACCCGGCCTAATAAATGCGCCCATTGAAGGATGGTATTCCGATATGGTCGAGTGGCTAACAGAACGGCCAAATTATTTCCAAGTGTATGGAGACTGTTCCATAGGCTTGTCAACCCCACTGCTACAACGAATCTTGCGTTAGGCGAATCCATTTGTAACCTACCCCAAAGTATCGGCTCCAGGTTGTAAGCCATAAATAGACGAGGATAAATAGACAAACTGGTGCCGCGATGAATATTACAACCATCAAAGACTAAAGTAAAAGAATTGCCTTTCGTATAAAGCAAAACCTGTATGGCAAAGATGAGACAGAAATATCGATGCATATGCCTCGTTCGATTGCTAAGCGTCGGGTTCGACTTGACGGCAATATAGCTTTTGATGCTCATGAAGCAGACCATTAAATAGAACATGGCGGTTATCCCCACAATGAAGGCGATAAAGCGCAAGTAATCAAGGATTTGTTCCAGATCTTTTAAAAAGCGCAAGCTGTCGAGGCCGCAGAGACCTTGTTCCAACACGCAAATCTAGAAGCCCCATCTTGTGTCGTGCAATGATTATCACCTGTGCGGTGTCGTCTAGCACAGACCCTTGTGCGTATGCCCTCCAAATCAGTCCATTTAAACTGAGCATCAGGAAAATGTAAAACATAAAAATGTAACGCTTCGCATGTGCGTTAAATTTTCGGTGTGCCTGCGTTGCACTGGCCGTCTTTAGCACTCCTGTATAAAGCAACGCACACATGGAATGGATCATAAATGAGAGGTAAAGGATCTAGAAGGATCGAATGCTATTGGGAAAACTGTAGTTACCACAATGAGGTGAAACGCAAAACTGTTCAGGTGGAAAATGCTCAATGTTTTCACAGCCCTGTACGGGGCGTAGAAGATTGGTTTAATGGCAGACACCATTGTATCGGTCAGCTCGGCGCTGATCTGAGAAGCGTTGAATATTTGAAAGTAGCAAGCGCTGGGAGAGAAAATTCAAAGCCTCATATGGCTGTTTCATTACGTATCGATGGCTTACCACAAAGTTCAGCTGCGTTATTTTGTATTCCCTTGTAAGGGGAGCCTTTCGGCTGCATATGAAGTATACATTCAGGCAGCAAGTCACTGCGCCGAGAAACCAGAAAAAATAATATAAGCCGACAATCCATACTTCAGCACACTGCGACGGATAAAACATTCGAATGAGGGGTCCGCGGGGCCCAGGATCATTAATGCATCAACAACGACCGGTCGATAGACGGATGCGTGTTCTGGAGGGCAGGTGCAACACACGGCCAATCAAACAGGCCAAAAACGGCAATTTGCCGGGAGGGGCAAAAGCGTCGATAGGAGACTATTCCCTTAGCGCGATTTCACAACTACCGTTAGTGAATGGAATTTGGTGAAATATGCCTTTGTCTATCCTCCGGACTTTTTATGTAAGGGTTCGGCTAGCCAAGTGCGTCCGTCCCCCGGCCTATCCCCAATTAGCCCGGTCCTGGTCCCGTTCCACCTATTACGGCCAGGCCGCATAAATAGGGAAAGCCCCAAACCCCAATCGTACAGTACTACAATATCTTGTGCCGTGCCAAGCCTGTGATCTGTGCGGATCTCTATAAAAGCTCTTTAACTGGAGTAATCAACTGCATTCTAAACCGTCATATTCTATATTTAATAATGTTCTATCCCACCACTGAGGGATAAGTTCGTTCAGGAGCCGGGCGTAGCGCGCGTCAAAACGTTTAAACTCTTCTAACTTTTCCAAGCCGACTTAATATTGAAAAGCCAATAATAATTATTGCAGAGTAAAATTTTACGGTTCGAATGATACCAAAGACAGCGGGTTAAGCCCTCCGAAATACCATTTTAACAAAGTCGCCCACCAAAACCGCCTTCGTTAGCATACTTTCTAAATTCAGTTTTTTTTTAGTGCTTAGTATCATTAGAATCGCCATGTTCCCTTCCACAAGACTGGAATTCGCCTTTTTTTAAGATCGGCCATATATTTCAAGATATAAGCCTTCAAAGTTTTAGCCCCATACATTTTTGAGTCGATAGGAGCGCCGCGTTGCCTAGTCCTTAGACCGCCAAGATTTCGGGGCGTGAACAAGGAAAAAAAGCTCGCAGGCTAGCGTCTTTTCCAGCTGCAGGGCAGCTTTCCGGGAACTTTGGCCATTGATCCAGGAAATGGAAAGTATTTGCGTAAGCAAATAGTGTCGAATTGCATTCAAGGACCGATTCATTGAACCAGATAATTGTCCTGGGTGGATACCATGGATTTGTCAAAGTGGAAAATCGGGTTTGCGATATTTGGCGGAGCTTTAGAAGCCAGGTGGACATTTGGACAGGAGTCAGTTTCTGGAACGGCCCAAATATGAAGGACTCAACCCAATTAATGTTAATGTCAAAGTCAAAAATTTGGCACGCGTTCAGAAGATGCTCTGCAAAACGGCGACTTATTGGCCTGACTAACCTACCCTGTACGTAAAATCTAAAAGTTGCACCATAACTTCTCTGTAGGCTTACGCAGCACGCACGCCGATGGGTCAGGACTTGGTTAGGATGGATTTGATGATTAGGGAACTAGGGAAAGGGAATAATGTCTTACTCGAGTGAACAACCTACGACATTAAACCTCCCCCCCCCCGCTAACGAACCAGATCCGAGGTTAGTATCTGAGCCGCGCGGCCTCACATTGAAAGATCCTGGAGTGCATTTAGAGATCCACCATTTTTTTGAGAAAGTTTTATGCGCAGTACACACACATGGACACTACATTTCACAGCGGTATCACAATTAGAGAAATGAAACGACTGGATAACACACGGTGCGGATGGGGGAGGGCGAGCCGGGCGGACTGGATAGGGTAGAGGAGGATAATTTTTTGTCGAATTCGAGTGGTAGGGAAATGCACAGAGTAATATCATGAACATGGGGGTAGTAAGCTTGATTTTGGAAGCTGGTATCTAACCGTGGTCCATAGTTTTCCTTCGCAAAATCAAGCAGAGACCAGGCACGGTCGCGGCAGCACACAAGAAATTGAAACTGGACGAGGGGTATTGAGGCGGAATTTTTAAGAGATTTTTCAGACCAAGATACTTTACAGGATTTTTTACAAAAATTCTGAAAAATCCCTCGCCAAAAAAAGATCTTACTGGGCTACTCGCATCTCTTTGAAAGTCAGTGTTTTTAAGCACGTAATACAAAATACAGGATGAAAATGACTTCCGACCTGCCGAGAGTCGGGGGAAATTTGGTAGTTTTTGGATGTGTGTGTATGAAATAGTCAATTGAGTGAGAAATGGAGGAGCGAAAAAATTTCACTGCCGGGCAGTTGTACAACCGTTCGATTGAGATGTTGGTTTTTTGGGGGGTAAGGACGATTCTAAGGTATATTTAATGAAGTTTTGAGGGCTTCAAAATTTAGTATCTGGCGTTAAAATCGTCCCCAAACAATCCCCAAAGATACAGACCAGAATCGGGGACCCAGACGCGAAAATCGGGCAAAAAATGGTCGAAAATCGGAAAAAATGCGATAAATTGTGGATATAGTCTCGTAAGGTATAGGTAGTTGGGTGTAATTTTTTGCGGGTATCACATTGCGAGGCGAGAACAGATCGGACTGGGCTGGAGGGGAGCTTGACTGAGTTTGAAGGGATTAGGAAGGCAAATCAGAATCGCACAACCTTGGCAAATAGCCAAAAATGGCGCAATCCTAACCTAACGTCCAAATCCACTTTTCAAGAATGGATCGAAAGGTATAGATTTTCAACCGATTTTTTGGGCTTCCAATACACGTACGACCAGTGGGACAAGATCGCGGGCTTCTTGAGGAAAATTGACCCATAGCTAAGCTTCTGTGGGGGGTACTTTCAAAAAGTGCGACTTCGCGCTCCGGCGCTCAAGCACTCGCCCGTTCGTGGGTTTTCGGTGATGGGGGTGTGGGTATGGGTTTGGGTTGTATTTAGTATCTTTAAATGAGGTTTTAATCTGTCAAAAGCTCTAAACCCAAACCCACTTTTCAAAAATGTCTCACTGACTCGGGCCTGGACTTACTAACAGAGAAGGGTACAAAAGTATACACAAAAATACACAAAATCTAGTAGCAGGGCGTAGTAGAGAAATAATATATAAGCAGGGCGGGCGGCGGCATTAACGTATAGTGAAATGGTGCGGATCATGTTTCTGCGGCGTGGCTGAGAAAGTGTGAATGCGGCTGTGACTGGTTTGGTGGGTACGGTGGGTAGGTAGGTAACTTTAAGAGAAAACTAACGGGTAACCACGTACTTACGGAATTTAAGAGACTGGGCAGCAATTTGTGGAAGGGATAGAAAAATTAGGACCAGTGGTGACGACCGTTTTGTTGTTAGGCTGGGAGAGAGATAGAGAGTTGGGTAAATGGCAAAATATAATGATTTCCGGATCACACTGGGGTAGAGAGAAAGTGGTGTGGTTGCTGAGTAGGTGTGGGAAATTATGGTATGGAATTTTAGGGCAGGTTTTAAGGGTATCCTGGCGGTTCTGAGTTTTAAAAATAGAATTTTTAGCCCCAAAGACCTCCAAAAACGTCCTGAAAACCCTTAATTAACCGCCAAATACTAGCAAATACACAGAAAGCCGGGTACTGGACGTCTTCTACATGTAAGCACGGATTCGGTAGAGGTCACAAAGCACGGGAGTGGGACCGTATTTTTGGTAGAGATTGTTGTTTAGTTCGGGTATCAACTGGGCATCAAAAAAATCGTATCGACGGTGTACGTACAGAAGAAGTGGCTATCCCTTGGAAGTAGCTATCGTGTGGCTAGCGGGGAGTTTAAAGGGACTCGGACACTAATGGTTCTGGTCGAGGAACGGGTAGTAGGGCTCGCTGCCAAACTCTTGCTCCACGGGGTTGATGCCGGACTCGGTGAGGAGGCGGCGAATGTTCTTGGCCTGTTGGGAGAGCTCGATGCGTAGCGTGGTCACTTGGATCACCATTCGGTCGTAGTCCATCTAAGAAAAAAATTAATAATTAATGCAAGCTGAAATATGCTATTTCAATGCTATTTACTAACGCGTAATTTTATTGCAGGGAACCAATAATGTAAACCTTAAATTATGGTCTAGCAAATTTTTTGGATTTGTCTTGTTTTTGCAATGATTTTTATCTCATTATTTTGAACTGCAATTGAAAACACTAGTATAGTTTTGATTCTCTATCGTATCCAATTGCAAAAAACCGAAAAACTACAAAAATCTGAAAAATATTGGAATCTGGGCTGCATTAATGCGTGAAGAAACACGAAATAAATGATAAAGTCCCCAAATTTTAGCTGTCACTATCCCCTTAGTTTTTAAAAGTTTTAGCCAACCTGCTGACTCTCGTTCATAAAGTGCTTCGGGCTGTTCGTGGGAATCTCCTGCCCGTCCGGCTTGCTGACGGCCACCAGCTCGCCCATGTCCCTTTCGACGGTCTCCAACTCGGGCAGCTTGTTCAGCAGCGTGTTGATGTGGGTCAGCACCTAAACGATACCTTAAAAGGCGTCACTAGATTTTACTTACGCTTGGTGGTAGCTGTTTTAATGAAGCTGCATTGTGGAAATCGAGGTATCCCTTGTCTACGGCGAGTCGGATCTTTTCGGCCAGGTTTTCGATATGGCCACCACCGGGGGGAAGCTGCTTGAAGGGCTGAAAAATGGTATGTGTATCCTATTAATTCATCTCAAAAAAAAATTTGCTAAGTTACATCTAAAAAGTTACGTAAGTTAGGTATCTAAAATTTCGCTTACCACTCGACCAATTCGCATCCGACGAAAATTGCTGGCTCGTCGGCGGGAAGTCCCAGCTTGCCGAGTTTCCTCCCAAATTCTCCTTGGCCCACAGCTGATCGTCACTCAACGTCTTGTTCGGGTCATTGTCAGGCAGATCTCCCCAGCCGGTCGACACAATCGTTCGTTTCGCCGTCGTCGTGGCCGCAGAGGCGGAACGCGGAGAATCGAGTTCCGACTGCAGATCCGTCTTTAAAAGTACGGATTTAATTGGTTGCATAGGCTAAAGAGAACCGGGGCTTGAGGACATTTCTTGGAAACCCACCTTTCTGGGCACCGGGCATTTTTGGAGGGCGGCTTCGTAGTCTTCTTCTTGGCCCTCGTCCACGGTCCACATCTTGACGGGACGTTGGGCTAAAAATAGAGCTTGTAATAGCCTTCCAAATGTCGGATATTATGACTCGGCTTTCAATATTCAAAACTGTCCCGCACTTTTTCGACAAGTCGGAAAAATATGATTTAGAGAGTGCACGCCTAATCTACATGTTTACCCCCACGTCTTCAACACGTTCGGAAAAATAAAACTCCTGTAGGCACTGCTTAATTTCAATAGCCGAACATTTCGCCGCGCGTCTTCAACAAGTTCAAAAAATTGTGTAGATATGGTACTTGCCAGGTTTGAAAAGATTGTATAAATATAGTACTAACTGCGTAATTTGAACGTGCAAAATTTGCGCACACGTCTTCAACAATTCAAAAGGGTTCAGAGGTTTTTATGTAAATCTCCACCCACCAGCTTTATCCGGATCGCCCCAAATATTAACTCCAGTGTCCCTCTGCCACTTCTTCAAATCCCCGTTTGGATCGTGCCACACCATGCTGTCGTTCTCGGGCGGTGGCGGCGCTCCGGCAATAAATTGCCCCATGCCCCCTTGGCTCATCGGCTTCTGCCCGTACGGCGACCCAAAGTCCACGTTCTGGGCTTGGAATTCTGGAACTGATCGTGATCAAGGGTTAGCGTTGAAACGCTTACGGTTATCCGGGGTGAACTGTGGATTCCGCATGCCCATCGCCGCTGGATCTTTCCACATTTGAGGTCCGGCTGGGGGTGGGCCTCCGCGCATTCCCATGTGGCCTTGGTACTACAAAGGTATAGGTTCTTAGGTAGCGTGGTTTTAAAACGGCCAGACGTTTATTCTTAATGATGATGGCACAATTAATGCATTTTTTTTGCAATTCAGAGGTTACTGAAGTACCCTCTTGTATTAAATTTATTGAAACTAACCGGAATATCAATAGGCGGCGGAATCGAGAGGTCGACAAATCGTCCATTCGGCCCTCCTCCTCCTCCAGGTCGTCCGCCTCGCTGTCCCATTCCACCTCGGCCGCCTCCGCCAGGTGGCCCATTCCACGGGGCCATCCCTTGCGGGGGCCCATTCATCCCGGGGATCATACCTCCTGGGGGCCAGCCATTTCCTGAAAAAATATGAGGCTTAACCAGGCAAAAAATGGAGGTATCTGTCTAATCCAAGACTTGAAAAATAGTTTTCTCAGCGTGAAAACCGAACACGACTGACCCTGGACAATGTAATGCTTCTATTCTGGGGTTAAAAAGATGTGGGCGTCTCGAAAGAGTACCAGACTGTTGCTGCTCAAATCATCCAATCCCGGGGATTAAGCGAGGGTTTCCACCCACATGTTTTGCCACCTATTTTCTATGCAATTTCGAGAGATCTCAATCAATGTACGAAGACGACAAAAGTCGTCCAGACCAAATAACCCTAATCCCAGTTTTTTCCAGATCGAGATGCGGCTGTGGCTTAAGCTTTGAAAATCCCAAACACCAACCTGCCATCGGGGGCATCGGCCGGCCCATGGGCGGTGGCGGTGGTTGGCGCATCATTTGCGGGGGTCCAGGTGGCCCATTCCACCTTCCGTTGGGTACCCATTGTGGGTGTTGCCCGGGGTGTGGTGGCCCCTGTTTCCACATTTCTTCCTGCTTCATGGGTGGACCACCGGGGATCTCCCACGTGCCGTCGGGTCTCATGTATTCGCCGACCATGCCGTCGATCATGCCATTGGGGCCCACTGAAAAAAGGTGTAATTAATACGTGAAAATAAGTTATACTAACACCAAAGATAAAGCCGCGATTTTTCGTTTGGACGCTGTAAAGAAAGTACTAAATTAATACTTACGTGTTCTAGGATATTGATGGACGTAGAAAATAAGTTATACTCAGTTTAAATAACGTTTAATTATGGCTAGTACTCTTTATCTGGAAGATAAAACGATGATTGACAACCTAATGGGTAGTTTAACCTAGGATCTAATAAGGCGAAAGCAACCTCGTCTACAAGACTCACTCGGATGCATCGGTGGGCCGACTCCAAAGGGCTGCGGAGGTTCCATATGCCCATCGGGCTGCCATATCTGCTTCATGTTGTACTCATCTGGGGTTCCATTTCCGCCGGGTTGCGGTTGCCAAGCCCCCGCCGGCATTCCCATCGCCATACCGTCAGGGCCGGGACCTGCAATCGGGATTAGAAACCGTAAGTCACTCGCCGTCTAGCACGCTTATTAACCAGGCATAAGGCATCTCTACTTATAGATTTTCCCTGCCGTCAATCACATGAGGATTGTTCTGCACTCGCGACACGCGCCGCTATGAATACACACGCGTTACGTTTCGCGGATACGGCAAAATCCGAAATCAAGCCTTCGCCGTTGCTTTACGTAGTTAAGGGATCATTTTGTTGCAAAAGCATTAACATCATAAAGCCTTTACCATTAACGAGAATTATATAGAAAAGACTCTGCTAAAAACCCACCCATCTGATTCGGATCCTGCCAGGGATTCCTCCCGGGAGCCGGGGAAACGTGGCCCCATCCGCCTGCTGTTGACGGACCCGCGCCGCCAGCCGGCCAACCCTAAATACAATTTGCATAAAACGGACAAAAAAAATCATGAATCCATGCCTGATACATTAACGCATGATTTTTCTCTCTCACAAACGGACAAATTTCATACTTTAAAGCTTATACCTTCTTCATCGACTTAAATTATTATAATAGTAAGCCAGCTGGAATAATCCAAGAATTTAACGTTGTCTATTTTCGGGCGTTTCAGCGTGTTGTGTGGAATTGGGTGGTGGAATGGAGAGCGAGAGGAATTGGTAGGGAGGGGGGTATAGAGTGGGGTAATCGCGGAGAGGGGCAGAGAAGTGTTCGCGCGACGAAGGTTCCGCACAACGCTCGAGAGGAGGGCCGATCGATCGATATTTTAAGGGGGGTGAGGCGGGCGATGGGAGTGACCAAAGGGCAAACCCCGGGCGGATTGTCAACAAGTCAGGGTATTGGGTTTTCGTATTGAGATAGTATAGTATTAATGGGTTGTTAATGGAAAAAGAACTAAAAAAACCCTAGGAATTGATTTTAGACAACTACTATGTTTGCAGGGCTCAACTCAACTTGATAAAAATGTCTACGTTTTTATAACTTTTTAAGATATTTTATGGTGGTATTTCAGTGTTTTATTGGGATTGTCCTACCGAAAAAGAATAGGAAAACTTTCCGGGTTTTGAGTCTTAGCCAAGGTTCTTAATTTGATTAATGTCGCATCAAGGATTTCTAAATCTGAAGACATTTTTTGGACAGGAGCGATCCGATTTGTGAAAACAATTAGCTCGAAAAATGTCAGGGGCTATTTTAGAGAATTTGCACACCTCAAAGACAATTAGTTCTACTTTTAACGTTAAATTCCACGATTTTAAAAGTTTTTCGATATAAAAATGCGATTGAAATCAATTAATGTCTTATTTTGGTCCGCGGCGTTTTTTTCCGCATCGATCCAACTCACCAAAATGACCTGCGCCGGGAACGGGGTCACTAACATGATCGAGACGGGTTCAGTAGTTTCCAGTTTACAAAAAGCGACGGCCTCGCGTATGTATTAGGAGTGAAAACTGTTTGCCCACCGGCCGCACATTTTTACCCTCGGCCGTCTCCCGGGGCGCCCCGCCCCACGTGACCACCGGGGGAAAACAGCAAAAAAAATAAGCCAGCGAGATTCGGCCAGCGGCCACGCGAGGTGTTGGCCAAAACAAGATCGGACTAGGGCGCGGAGCTGGTGGTGCGGGAAAACATGTAAATATGTCGGGGTGAGCCAGGGGGTCAGGGCGCAGTGTGTTCGGTTGATCACACCAGTTCTACATAAATTGGTCTTATTGAAACCGGGGCTAGTTTATAAATGCCAAAAACCGTTTTACAAGCTGATCTTGAGATATAACTAGGCTTAAAATAGCTTACTGAACTGAAAGATCCGCGAATTTCTGAAATTTTCGCGGTTACGTCAGTAGAGCTTTTTGTAGGGTATATTTAAGTGTCGAACTGATTTTACGAGCTGAGCTTGAGGTATATGAAACTGCAAATCGTTAATGAACGGAAAACATCAAAATTTTTGAACCCTCCATACCTCCTTAAGCTTCACGAACCTAGATTACGTTTCCTGGGTGTTCTTACGCCTTCTAAAGCTTTTTCGCTAGCGCTAGGTAACTTTCGCGTATTTTTAAGGTAACCTTCAAATACGTAATTTAATTACGGCAGGATATACGTACAGAAGCGTCAACAGTATGAATTGTACCTTGTCGTATATCGTTAAGTTCAGCGATTTTCAAACTTTTCGTCCTAATTACGTAATGCTAGCGTATTTTAATGTGAGTCAATTTAATTATGGCCTAAACAGCCTTGCTCGCGTTGTATATTCCAGATAAAATTCTGAATCCCCCTTCTAAACGACTCTCTCTAACTTTCGGGCCGACCCAAACCCGTACCGGTTGCGGCTGGTGGATGAAGGGTTGATGCGGGCCGCCCGGTTGAGCCGGTATCTGCGTAAACGGGGCCGTGGCCATAAGCGGCTGCGGTTGGCCGGGTTGTTGGCCCTGATGGTGGGCCCGGATTATGGCCTGCGGCATCACCGACGATTAGCCTCGGTTGCACGCACGCACCAACAAGCCACACCTATTTGAAGTGAGGAAAATGATGTATTTCACGAAACGGAATGCAGAGAAACCGTAGAGGTGATGAAAATTGAATTGAAGCCTTGAAAACAGAAAAGATATGAATGTTTTTCAATTTAGGGCCGCTCAGAAATTGGCCGAGAAACAGGCGATCTGCCATAAAAATCGATGAACAGCCCCGTTTCGCCCGAAAATTTGGTTCAAGTACACAACATTCCCCCGATAAAATCTATATGAGAACCCAGCCCAAATACAGCTGGGCGCACAAAGCTCTGGCTGCGGCGTCGATTTGGGGCGGAGGGAGAATCGTTTTGGAAAGAGGCGCGTGGAAAGCGAAGCGATTGATAGGACTGGGTGGACGGGGGGCAGGAGCAGCAGAAGGAGGAGAAGAAGAACGACAAGAAGAAGAGGAAGGAGGAGAGGGGGGAACTGGCCGGTCCCCCTAAGAGCACTGTCAAAACGAGGCTCTCCAGTCTTTCGGATTTGTCTCTAGCTATCGCTGGTCTCGCGTTTTCTCTTTCCCACTTCCTCGCGCTTTCTTGGTTCATTGCGGATCTGTAGCACGGATCTCACGGTCTCTGACATGGTCTCTCTCCCTCTCCCTCTCTCCCTCTCTCTCTCTCTCTCTCCCTCTCTCTCACCCAAACAAGGACTCCCACCGCCAGTGAGTCCAGATCCCTGAAAAACCGTTACCCCTCCTCCCTCCTTCATTCTGGACCCGTTGTCTCCCAGAAACTGATACTAACCCTTTAAAAAAAAGTAGTAGAACCGCCTAACACTTTTTATTAACAATACTATACTATAAATATTTCATTTAAAATCATAACTAAAAGAAAAAAAAATGATCCAAACTCAGACAGCTTCCGGCGGCCCGAAATGATTAGTGCCAAGACCTGTCTTTTGGAAGCCTCAAAGTTGGGAATTTTGTGGTTTGGACAGACAGACAGACAGACTACAGATGTTTTTTGCAGTCGTTGCACTTTTTATAGACTTACCGGCCGTTATTAGTATTTAATTGTAGCCCTTTTCCATTAATTTGAAATACCCACCTGCCCAGGGCCAACGTCCTGCCTCCAGGGCCCCTCGTCTATCACCATGTTCGCCACTGATCGTTCTAGGTCCATCTAGGGACTATCTGAAACGGCGAGTTTAGCTTAGCCTCAATGATAAAACATCAAAAATTTTAATATGGCGTTTTTAGAATTGAAATTTAAATTGAAAAATGAACTGAATTTACACAACATTCTTAAAGCTTCATTTCTTTGAAAATGGTTTTAAAATAATAGACATGCCACGCTTACATGAATTTCAAGTAAAAAATGCAACAGAAATGATTCTACCAGATTTGTTTTTACAATTTTTTGCGAATGCAGTTTTTATTATTTTTATGGCAATTAAAGTTAATTTTCACACTTGGAGTGGGAGAGAAGAACAAAAATTAAAATTTATTAACCACCGAAGCCAGAACTAAAAAAATTTTACCTGGCCGAAGCTAGAGCCGGCTAGCCTCGCGTTCGTGTCGGGGATTACTGGAAAATTCTTATAAGAAAGAGTGGAATTTTTGACATGAAAAACATATCGAAATCAAGGTATTCCATAAAAACCATCATTCAAAAAAAGGTCAAAAATTTCCGTTGAAAGCATAGAACCCTCAGTTGCGGCAGAAATTCGAGACAAACGCCCCGGTGTGTCCCGGGGAGTCTAGAGAGAGAGGACGAAGGTTGTGTGTGTGGCCAGCCACCAACGAAACGATCGATAAGTGCCCGAGGGCAGAAATTTATGCTAAGCTATAGACATGATGGCGCAAGGAAAATAGCTATGGAACGGACTGCCAGACGGTATGGCGCTGTCTTTTTGGTTTTGGACGAGCGAATTTCGGGCAGTTGCGGGCGAGGTCGTAAAAGTGACAATATGTATTGAAGTAGGGGACCGATTTTTTGGCAGTTTTTTCTAGAAAGCAGTTGGTAGACAGAATAATGGAAACCGCGGAATTTGGACCCGAATCCAGGTGCGTGAAGATCAATTCATAACTAAAAATTGAAAATCATTCAGGATGATGCACTTTAGAAATGGTAATTTTTGGGTAAATTTGCATAAATCGGCGGTTGTTATATGTTATTTCATGCGACTATTACGCTACGATATTAAATGCGAATAAAAAGACATAAAGTAAGTAGAACGGAAGGAATTTGCATAAAAAACGGAGCTAATAGAGGAGTAAAATCTGCAGGATACCTGAAATATATTTTTAGTGTTAGTAATATATTTTTGCTATAACTTGAAAACTACTGTACCGATCGGGCTGAAAGTTTCTGTGAACATTTTGAATCCCCTTCCGCACCTCTGTGCAAAATTTCAAGTCGATCGTATTTGAAATAGCAAAATGCCAGCGTGACCTTTTTTATTGGGACACCCTGTATATCT